GATTACCACACTTCAAGGCCAAGATCTAGTTGAGTTCCAAGCCAGCCTAGGCTGCAGTGTGAGACGCTCCGTAAAAATAAAAGAGAATCTCCACCATTACCCCAGGCTGTATGTTTTCACCTGTGATTTCTAGGAGTTGTATAGTTTTATGTTTTAAAATTAGACCATTTTGAGCTAATTTTTATGACAGGTATAAGGTCTGTGTTTTGAATAATGTTTTTGCATTTGGATATCCAGTTCTTAGAGTAACCCTTGTTTTTTCTTCATTCGGTCGCCTTTTGATAGTATGAGTCTTGAAGCTGGTGGTTTCTGGCCTCAGCTTTTACTTTTATTTTTTTTAAAATACCATCTTGGCTATTCTTAGTTTTTTGTCTTCTGTGTAGACATTAGGAATTTGTTGATATTTAGAGAGTAACTTGGGAGTTTGGTTGGGATTACGTTGAGTCTATAGATTGAGTTTTAAGGAACTGACATCTTGACAATGTTTAATCTTACTTATGAACATGGAATCTTAGTAATTTATTTAGTTTTATGTTGATTTTTTTCACAAGTTTTATGGGTTTCTTCACATTGGTCTTGTACATGTTTTGCTATATTTGCACAAAATATTCATATTTTGGGGGTGATAACATAAGTGTTATGATTTTTAAATTATTTTGTTAGATGTATTAATTTTTAAATTTTTATGTTTTGCCTGACTGCATGTAATATGTACCATATATGTATTGTTGCTCATGGAGATCAGTCAGCGGGTGTCAGATCCTCTGGAACTGAAGTTTGGCTCATTGTGAGCCACCATGTGGGCACTGGGCATCAAACCTGGGTCCTCCGCAAGAGCAGCGAGTGCTCTTGACCCTGAGCCATCTCTGCAGCACCTATGTTTTAATTTTTTAATGTTGTATTATGTTACTAATTTTAGATTTCAGTGTGTTGCTGCCACACAGGAAATGGATAGGCTTTTGTATATTGATTTTCGTGTATTGATCAGGTCACCTTGCTGTGATTTCTTACTCGGTGGCGGATTTGGGAAATTCTTTGTGGTTTTCTGCGTTAGATAATCATGTCAAGGTGAACATGGACAGTTTTATTTCTTCCCTCTCAAGCCGGTTACTTTTTATTTCCTTTTCCCCTCACAATTTTAACTCCTGTAGTTTTCCACACAAGCTGTAAGCCTGGTATTTCTTCCACTCTGCTTTAGCTTGCTCTTCTTCTCTGCAAGCAAACTAGAGGGCTTTCCTGGGTGTGTGTTTCTTTTTTTTTTTTTTTTTTTTTCCAGCATGACAGGGCTTTGTTTGCGGAGCCTGGCTGTTCAGGCCTGGGGCTGTGAGAGAGAAGTGTTAAACCCTTCTTGGGTGGTCTCTTTCTCCACCTGCTCAGGCTTACCTCACATGTGTCTCTAATGACTCCACTTGCTTTAGTTTGGGTTTAGTAGTTGTGCTCAGTGGCTGAGGTGGTTATATTCTTAGCCCAAATTCCAGGATCCAGAACTTTCTTGGGCTGGTTAGGACTTATCCGTCATCGACTGAAGCTGTTCGTTGTCCAATGGGAGTGAGGAACTTTGCAGGCTCCTTGGCTAGAGAATATTCAGGCAGCTGACGGGAGTTCTCCAGGGAAAGTGCAGCTGTGAAAATATGGCCATCTTCCAGCAATAGAAAAGTAACTAAGCCACCTGGGGAAGGGATGGCCGGCCAGGACAGCTTCTACTGTTGTTGGGATGACTGTGCGTGTGGGGTGTGTGTATGGTGCGTGGGTGTACGGTGTGTATTAGGCAGTGGTGTGGGTGTGTGTTAGGCAATGGTGTGTGTGTGAGCATGCACTACCTTTTATGCCTCCACAAGATGTTGATGCTGGGTGTATTACTATTAGTTTTTGAGACAGGGTCGCTCATGACCCTGGAGCTCACTGGCTGGCTAGACTGCAGGCTGTTGAGCTGCTGAGATCAGCTTATCTCTATCCTCCTGGCCCCCTCCCAACTCTCACCGGCATTAGGGATTACAGGTGCACACCGTCACATCTGGCCTCTTTTATGTGGGTGCTGGGGCTCTGAGTTTAGGGCCTCATGTTTCTGCAGCAAGCTGGCTACCCATTTAGCCATATCTTCAGCTCCTGCCTCATTCTCTTGAAAACCTCTGAAGTACATACTGTTTACTTCTATGATTGGCTGTAAATCATTGAAGCATCTTAATAGTGGGTTTTCATCTTTCCTTCTCCCTTTACATTTCTTCCTTTCCTCTTGGGTTTTCTTTTCTTTTCTTTGAAAACAAACAGACAAAAACAAATAAAAGCGGATGTATTAATTGTGTTTCTTGTTGAGACAGAAATACATGCAAGGGTTTATTTTGGTTCACAATTTGAGGATCCACAGTGGCTACTGGAGATTGAGGCATGCGGTCATACTGTATTTGCAGTTCGGAAACAGAGAGTGGTTCCAGAGCATGAGGAGATAACACACCTTCAAGGCTGGCTCCCAAAGCCACGCCTGCTAACTCGGCTACAGTATCAAAAGGCCCCACCAACAGTGCCCCAGCCAGGGACCAAGTGTTCAAGTGCATGGACCTGTGCAGGACATGTCACATCTAAACCCTAATAGTTGGTGAAGGCAACTATTTGATGCCATTTTAGTAACAAGGAATGAATCTTCGAGTGATTAAGGTGCTTCCCCAAGGATGGACTCTTAGTAATAGAACTGAGACAGAAGCACATGCTATGTTTGTTTTCGTTTTGACAGTGGGGGCCTGCTAGCCTAATTGAAGCCAGCCATGTAATAATCCAGTGTTAATTATTGCTATAAATAAATATTGTCAAACTTTTTCTTACAGGACCAAATAGTGAACTTTACCTCAGACCTTCCAGGCCAGGAGTTCCCTGTGGCATGCATTGTAGTCTGCCATTGTTTTGTGAGTACAGAAATGAAGCCAGGCATGAAAACACATGCCTAAATCCCACCACGTAGGAGGCAGAAGGATTAGGTCTTCCTCAAGAGTATAGCAAGTTTGAGGCTGACCTGGACTAAAGGAGACCATGTCTGCCCTCATACCCCCTCCGAGGAAGAAAAGGAAACAGAACTGAACAGATATGTCTGTGTTCCAAAACTCTATCTGCAAAAGCAGATGACAGGTCAGACTTGCCCAAGAAAGTGTAGCTCCTGTAGTTTGTCATAGTTCTACATGCAGTTGTGGTTGCTGAAATTACCTGGCACTACCTGTAGGGTGGTGGCTACCTGGATGACCCACGATATATATCGCTTCCCAAGACGAATCTGAAAATGGCAATAAAATTTTAGAAAATTGCCACTGAGAATTCAGCAGTCTCTAGGAACTCGATTTCCCTGTTTTGAGAAAAGTGATGTAAAGGAATACTAAAGTAGAAAGAGATATGCTATAAAGGACATTGTAGTTATTCTGTGGTGCTCTGTATTGGCAGTTGGCTTTGAGAGAGATCAGGTCTGGGGCGAGGGAGCCACAAGCTTTTGCGTGGGCTCTTCCCTTTGTAATTACAGACTACTGGAGCCAACTCTGGTTTCTTCTCTAAGTCCTAGATTTTATTAGATTGTTTTTCTGTTTCTGCTGGCTTTTCCCCCTTTACTTTCTATGTAAAATTCCTTTGGCTTGGGGTAAATTGTAACCACTGTGTGTGTTGAAGCCTGTGTGATAATATTTCCATGACTTGGGACAGGGTCATTCTTGATCAAAATATTAATTATGGAATGTTAAGGAATATATTTACATTTTTAAATTTCTTTAGGGTCTAACTAAACTTGTTATTACCAGGCAAAGCAACTTGATGTAATGAGTACGCAGTTTATGTAGTTGTCATTTAGTCTGTGATCGTAAGATATTCGAGAATGGTTTGTACCAGTTTAATGTATAACGGTATAATCATACTTGAGAGTGATTTACAACAACTTAATCTGCTCGGGGTAATTATCTGGCTTGTGTTCAGCAGAAGTTGGCACAAATAGGTCTGTCTAATGGGCAGTGTTCTAGCTTTTTAGACATTAGAGCTTCAGATATCTGTAAATAACAATTCTATGAAAAGCAACTTCAAGAGGTTGCGATTGCACTGGTGTCGAATTATGTGCCCGTAGGCAAGTTAGCTTTCTCGGCATCTGCTGCCTAATCTGTGAAGCAGGAGCCATAGCAGCAATAATGGAGGCACACGGGCTTTTTTGTGGGGGCTGAATAGATAAGAGAGGAATGCAAATGAAAAAAATCTTGCTATGTTGTCCAGGCCGACTTTGAACTATTTGGTTCAAAAATTCTCCTGCTTCAGCCTCTCAGGGAGCTGGGACTTGATACTCAGAAATGTGAGGAGTATTAGCACCTGGTGTAACTATCCCTGCATGCTAGAAAAATTCCTTTGAGCAGCTCCTTAGGGTGGGGATGAATATCTTGTTGTTTAATAAAGTTTAACTTAAAACAGAAGATTTTATGTCTATCTTCTGTCTGTAAATGGAAAATTCTCATGTTCTTTATTCAGGGCTTTCATTTTGTTGTAGCTGAAATCATATTTAGTAACTTATTAATATATGCAAAACAATGGTGGTAGAGGAAACTCAACATTCTCAACATTGCTGTAAAGAAATAATCAAGTTGGAAAAAAGACATCCTCAGCCAGGCATGATGGTGTATGCCTGTACTTCCAGCACTCATAAGGCTGGGGCAGGAGAACAGCTGCGAATTCAAGGCTACTATGGGCTACACCTGTACTATACCGTGAAGTCTACAGCAGCCTGAGGGAAAGTGTGAGCCCCTAGTCTTAGAAAAGAAGTCCTGTATTTTCAACTCAGGAAGTGAGCACATCAACCCCTGTAAGTGCTGACTGTTCAGTGTCTTTTCGAAGCTACCTGACAGTGGGAGAGCGGCTCCCCTTTCTTGGAGATGCTGTTGTAGAATGTACACGGTCGCTGTGGTTTCCTGCACCTCTCCCGGCTGAGAGATAAGCACTTGGCTGAGTCGTCACAGCATGCCCTTGCTCACTGTGTCTTTCTTCATCTCTAGGATGATTGAGGAAGGTGGGAACAAGCGGAAGACCATGGCAGAGAAGAGACAGCTCTTCATAGAAATGCGTGAGTGTCCTGGGCTCTCACACATGGAATACTGGGGGCGGAGGGGGTGTTGTTGTTATTTTACCATGTAATAGTTTTTTTTTTTTTTTCTTTTTTGAGACAGGGTTTCTCTGTGTAGTCCTGGCTGTCCTGGAACTCACTCTGTAGACCAGGCTGGCTTCGAACTCAGAGACCCAAATGCCTCTGCCTCCCAAGTGCTGGGATTAAAGGCGTGCACCACCACCACTGCCAGGCTAAGTAATAGTTTTAGTCAGTTAGAAATTGTATGTTAGAAGCCTTAGAGAGGGAAAAATAGGAGTTACAGGATCATGGAATTGCAGGACTCAAAGCCACACATATTTTTTACTTGAATTGGCTTGAGACTTGAGTTGAGGTTTTTTTCTTTTCCTCTCTCTCTCTCTCTTTCTTCCTCCCCCTCTCTTTCCCTTCCTTTCTCTCTCTTCTTCCCTCCATCTATCCCTCTCTCCAGGGTCTCACTATCTAGCTCTGGGTAGCTAGGAACTTGCTGGGTGGGCCTGGAGGTACCCTGTGAAATAGCTCACACAGCTCTTGCCTGCTTTCTTAGTTAAGGTCATAAAAAGTAAGGCAGAAAGTGTTACATGGAACACCTGTGACTTTAAGCCATGCCTACTGTTTAGAACTCTTTCTGGAGTTGTGACCATAAGCTTGCAGATGGTGGTAAGTGGTTAATAATTAATACATTATATAAATTACCTTTTACTAGATGCTAGGCATACAGTGAAGAGAACCAAGTGTCAGAACAATAGCACTATTGGAAAACCAAAAAGAACGAATTTCATGAAGAATAAAAATTATATTATGAGCTGGGCGCAGTGGTGCCCTCCTGTAATCCCAGCACTCCAGGAGGCAGAGCCCAGGAGAAGCTGATGAAGGGCTCAGCCGGTACCTGGGGAAGAGGGATTCTACAGATTGGAGAGATAATCGGGAGGTAGAAATGACAGAATCAACCAGGTGTGGTGGCACACATCTGTAATCCCAGCACTCAGGGAGCCAGAGGCAGGCGGATCTCTGAATTTGAGGCCAACCTGTTCTACAGAATGAGTTCCAAGACAGCCAGGGCTACACAGAGAAACCCTGTCTTGAAACAAACAAAAAAAGAAAGAAACCCCCAAAACATATTATGATATTAAAAAAATAAGCAGCAGCAGCAGCCCAAAACATGGCCGGAGGAACTGGATGGTCCCCAGAATTTTGTTCTCTTTGGCTGTGTGATACAGACCACCTCACACTTGTTGCCTCTCAGATCCCACAATCGCATTGGTTTGGAGTAGTCATGGTAACCTTTTAAAGACATTTTATAAGTACTACTGCAAAGCTGGGCATGCTCCTGTCCTCCCAGTGCTTGGAGGTGAGGCAGGAAGACCATGTGTTCAGGGGCTACATAGTGAGACCCTATCTTTAAAAAAAAAAAAAAATCACGGAATTGGTGCTGCGTGGCTGAGTCAGGAAATAGGAGGCAGAAACCCAGACTAGGGTGGTTCATGAGGTATTTAAAGAATTCTAGCATCCTGCCTGTTACGAGGTAATTAACAGATGAAGTTTCAGATCTTTTCAGCCCTCAGCATCGGTTGAGTTTGCTGAGACTTAGTGAGTAGAGGCAGAGTTGGGCTCAGCTCAGAGGTTTAGGCTTGATAACTTTGTTAGAGGTAGAGAAGCAGTGTTGGTACTGATTGGGAGGCGGCCAGACTGCTGTTTCTGTGAGGTAGGTGCTTCCCTCTGCCTCACCTTCTGCCTCCAAAGGAAGTGCAGCTGGGCTTGCATGCGGCCTGTCTTCTCTCTTTTCCCCAGGGTCTCATACAAGCTGTCTTTGAACTTACCATCCCCTAGTCTCAGCCTCCCAAGGGTGCACACATGGCTGGTTGTGTTACAGAGTTTTGAATCTGCTTCTCCAACCACAGCCTGGTTTGGATCTTGGTTCCAACACTTAATGATTGTATAGCAAGTTTCTCCCTTTTTTTCCCTTTTTTTTTTTTTAGACAGGGTTTCTCTGTGTAGCTCCGGTTGGTCTGGAACTCACTGTGTAGATCAGGCTGACCTCGAACTTACAGAGCTCCTCCTGCCTCTGCCTCTGCCTCCTAAGTACTGGGATTCAAGGTGTTTGCCACCACTGCCTGCAAATTTTTTTTTCTTCCATTTAAAAAATTTTAAAAGTCTCTGGCACTTTACATTCCTTTATAAATTCATTCATTCTTAATTAATTAATTAATTAATTAATTATCGTGTGTGCATGTGGAGTTCAGGGGATGTCTTAGTTAGGGTTGCTGTGATGAAACACTATGATCAAAGGCAGTTTGGGGTGGAAAGGGTTTATTTCAGCTTACACTTCCAGGTAACAGTTCATCACTGAGGGAAGTCGGAGCTGGAACCTGGAGGCAAGAGTGGATGAAGAGGCCATAGAAGTGTGCTGGTCACTGGCTTGCTCCTCATGGCTTGCTCAGCCTGCTTTCTCAAAGAACACAGGGCCACCAGCCCAAAGGTGGCACCACCCATAATGTGCTGGACCTACTGGATCTTAGAACTCACTCTGTAGACCAGGCTGGCCGTGAACCTGCCTCTGCCTCTTGAGTGCTGGCATTAAAGGCTTGCGCTACCATGCCTGGCTCTATATCTGGATTTTATGGAGGCATTTTCCCACTTGAGGGTCTCTCCTTTCAGGTAACTCCAGCTTGTATCAAGTTGTCATAAAACTGTCCAGCACAGGGGACAACTTGCAGGAGTCAGTTTTTTTTCACTGTGTGGCTGTCAGGGGTAGAATTCAGGTTGTCAGGTTTGGTTGCAAGTACCTTTACTTGATATGCCATCTTGTCAGCCCTTAGGCCAAATTTCTTAATCTCTGTATGCCTCAGTTTCCCCATCTATGGAATAATGCCCACTTACGGAATTCTTGTGATTAGCTACAATAATGCAAGGGAAATGCTCCTCATGGTGCCTGACCAAGTTAACTACATTTGTTAAAATGTTTTAAACAGTTTTTAAAAATTTATTTTATTTTATGTATATGAATATTTTTCTTGCATGTATCTCTGTGTGTCATATGTGTGACTGGTGCCCTTGGAGGTCAGAAGATGATATCCTAAGCTTTTGGAAGTGGAATTACAGACCGTTGTGAGCTGCCCTGTGGGTGCTGGGAATAACACTGGAGACCTCAGGAAGAGCAGCCAGTGCTCTTAGCTGCTGAGCTGTCTCCCCAGCCCTCTTACGGTTCTTTTTCAAACTAAAGCAGTAACTGAAACTTTCTTCTAGTCTTGACCTTCTTAAGTCTGTCAGTGCTCCCTAGATTACTCCCTATGTGATCTAGCTTATACCACATAAGCTGGTGCCGTATCCTTGCTCAGAGCTAGTTTAAGCTTTTTAAAATTAACTTCATGAGAGTTCTACTCCAGAATTTGCCTTTGGCCTCTCCCCCAACTTTTTTTTCCTAGGTCACGAGTTCCCAATTTCTACTTCGTGGCTGTGTTAACTTTTTGTTGCCTGAGATGATCAATTTATAGAGGAACTAAAGGTTGGTTTGTTTCAGAGCTTGGAGGGTTCAGGTTTTTAATAGACACCTCCCTCTTTTTTATTTATCTGTCTGTCTGTCTGTCTGTCTGTCTACCTACCTACCTACCTATTTTGGTTTTGCAGTGCTAGGCATTGAACATTGGGCTTCCAGCATGTGAGCAAATGCACTGTGTCTGAGCTATAGTCTTGGTGGGAGTTCCAGCTTTTGTCTGTTGATCCTTCTGCAGTTGGGCCTGTGGAAAGGTAGCAGATCATGGTGGGGAGGACATGGCAGAGCAGGGGTGCTCACCTGTCAGTGGGATGCAGAAGAAAGAAGGGCTTCATACCACCCTCTTTGGGGCCACATCCTCTGTGACTAGAAGACAAGGTGCTAGCTACCTCTTGAGCCAAATACTACTACTCAGAGATGCCAAACTGGGGACCAAGCCTTTAATACATGGGCTTAGAAGGGCATTAAAAATTCTGAATAACTTGAGTGGGATGCTAATAATCCCAGCAATTAGGAGGCAGAATTAGGAGGATAGGTTTTTGTTTTGTTTTGTTTTTTTTGTGGATAGTAAGTTTGAGGCTGGCCTGGGCTACATGACTAGACCTTGTCTCACAGCAAATCAGAAACAGAAAAACTGATTCAAAAACACAAGAAAAGATTTAGATCATAGCACTTGCACACCATTTCCAGCAAGCTGCATTGGCTTTCACACAGTGCTTCTGTCTCTGTACTTGGTGGATTGTTCTGTTTACCTTTTGGTACTAAGCACAGGGGCTGCCTTTTCTATTCAGTAACCCCTCCCCAAGACAGGGTTTCTCCATCTAGCCCTGGCTGTCCTGGAACTTGCTCTTAGACCAGGTTGGACTCATTCTCTCTGTGTGTGGCCTTTTGAGCTTCCTCACTTTCTTCATAGGAGAAGTTGTATTGGTATCTGGGAAGCCCCACCTCATTCCCAGCTCTGCCTAAGCTCCAGAATAGTTACCCTTGCTTAGGTCCAGATAGATCACAGGTGTCTAGCCTTAGCACTCTAAGTATGTCTAAGGAGTTGGGTTCTTTTTATTAGTTGTAATGCTGAGTCTTCTATTTAGGTTATAGTACATTTTTTATACAAGGTTTGTATAGGCCAAACTTGTCTTGACCTCCTGATGCTGTTGTGTGTACCTGTCAAGTGTTGAAATTACAGGCCTGTGCCACTGTGCCTAGTGTTACCATTTTAAAAGACAACATTAGCTCTTTTTTTTCTTTTTAAGATTTATGTATTTCTTTTATGCATAAGAGTACTTTGTCTGCATGTACACCTATATGCCAGAAGGGGGCATCAGATCACATTATAGATGGTTATGAGCCACCATGTGGTTGCCAGGAATTTTAACTCAGGACCTCTTTAAGAGCAGCCAGTGTTCTTAACCGCTGAGACATCTCTCCAGCCGTCTAGCTCCTGTTTTGTAATTCTCCCTTTTCCTTCCCTTTCCTTGTTTTGTTTTGCTTTGTTTGTGGTGCTGGGGATCAAACCCAGGTCCTCTTGAATATTAGGTTCCTACTTTCTCATGACCTAGCATTCTGGTTAGGGCCTCAGATACTTCTTAATTGAAGAGTAGGGAGGATAGGCATCTTTGTCTCAGCTTTATATCAATGGGGATGTTTCTAATATTGTTCAGAATGATGCTGCTGTTAATTTTATGTTCTGTCAGATTAAGGGACTTTTCCATTCTAATCTGCTAGGACTTTATTTTCTTTCTTTCTTTTTTTCTTTCTTTTTTTCTTTCTTTTTTTCTTTCTTTTTTTCTTTCTTT